GGGAGGGAGGGGGAGGTAACTGTAGAAATTTGCTTGCAACACGTAGAGGCGTGGCGACCTCGAAAATCAGTCCAGAAACCGAGCTACTCGACAGCAAACTGCGGTGTGACGGTTACTCGACGAAAGTTGGTTGTTTTTATTTCCAGTCAAAGAACAGCCGTTCTTCATCCACTCAAAGAGAGTGTTGGACAAAAATAATGGCAGATAAAAAGTTCTCAACAGTGAAAACCTCTGTACATGCGATTTGATTAGTTTAGCATTTCATCTTGTCGTGCATTAATTGCGCCAAAGGGTTCCCTAATTGCGCCAAGCCCTCAAAGGGCCCCCAAAACTGTTCCTTAGTTGCGTCAAGCCCAGGCCAGGTAGGGGTAAGTTGCTTGCAGAATGTCCTTTTTTACATGTCATCTTAACCTAACCTAACCTAACCTACTCAATTATACAGTCAGAGGGCCGCCACTTGAAGCAATTAGACACGTATCGGGTGGCTCCGTGGAGTAGTTGGCGCAATTCAGAATTACCCGAAAAACCTGACTCGGGTCAGTTCCTTTCATCTTGTGTTGGACCACCGTAAAGTTGTGTGCGATATGCTATCAGGGGGGTTTTGTTTATTTTTTATTGTATATATTTATTTGTGCTTTGAATCAAACGTGTGCCCAAAATGATTATCCTATCGCCCATGAATAATGTAACAAAAGAAGACGGAATTTCAAATTTTGTCTGTCTGACACTAATTTAATTTTTAATTAGTTATACATATTTATTGACGTATTCCTATTGAATATATGTTTCCTTTACATTGTGCAAAATTAAATATTGGAAACCTACAAGGCTATGCACTTGCAATTTTTTTTCTATTCTTTCGTAACCCAAAGAAAGCGTCATGTGAATTAGAATCAATAATAATTATAAAAATCAGCTTGACGCTTGGCGCTACACCTTATGCAAAACGCCTTTACTTTCACATTCCGTTATAATTGTATAGACGCCCGAAACTTGTTGTCCAATTTAAATGCCACTCGATATTATGAATGGGTGTTCGCTATACTGTAGGTCAGCCGGTCTGGCGGCAATCAGCTGTTTATTGTGATCAGCTGTTGGCGCAATCATTGTTTTGCGTTTGGTGAAGTAGTATAGTAGTGTCTGTTGTTTGCTACGGTTGCATGTTTGTGTAATTTTGTTTTTAGACCGGCAATATTGTGTGCAAAATTTTGCTATGGTCAGCTGATTAGCGAAATCAGCTGTTACAAACAGTCAGCTTTTTTAGGAGTAGGATTAAAGGACTATGCATTAAACCATCGACTAAGGATATAACAAGACCTAGAGTCTCCCATAGTCGAGCTGTGGTTGTTGTTGTTGTTGAAACAATGTAGAGTTGTTTGAATTTAACCACCGAAAAAGTGCGTTGATGCAAACTACCGATTTCTGTCGAATCACCTTTGCAATCAAACCAGACTGAAAGGAAAATTTATTGTAAAATAGTTTATGTCACATAGATAAACTATCACAATTACAAGCACTAACGGAGAAAATTATATTTCGGGCTTTAAGACTCTCTTTGAGTGTATTGTTACAAATATCATCGATACACATATAATAAATACTAGCTGTTGGCCCTTTTCACATAAAAATCAAGTAGGCCTAGTCTGCTAAAACTGTGTTTAATTTAGAATAGTGTTTAGGCTACTTGGTTTACAAAATAAGTCCGAATTGTTCAGATTTGTAGACAAATACATTTTCATAGACAGATCGACGTACAAAGGAAATAATGTAAAAATTCATTGTAAAATGTAATGTGTACACCTATTGTTCATCCAATTATATCTTAATTTAAAATTTAATGACTATATAGCGAATCATCAACTTTATCGATGACAAAATACAAAGTACCTACATACCACCTTCCATTTTATTCTATTACTTACTTTGAAATCCCTCCTCAAGACCCCAGTCTGGTACCGGTACTCTTGTATTACACTTTTAACAATTGAAGTTGCTCCACTCTTTCAAACATAGCCTGAGCATCGTATCCTTTTACTTTTTGACAGCACCACTATTCTGTAAAGTTTTCTAGCCTACAATCATTGACATAGTGTTATATAGTCAATGCTACAAACAAGTAAAAAACTATTTTAGTGACAGTAAATAAATAGAGATGGCAGATGAAAACTGCAATTTCCTAGATAACATCCTCCCCTACGTTTGCTATTCTAATCTCTCCATGTTTTCGTAAGGAGGTAGTATGTAGTGAGATGCCTTCTGTTGTTTTTGCCCGACTTCAACTCATCATGTTTACAGAGGTAATTTTACTGCATCTCAGCTTATGTCTAAAACAACCAGAAACAACACACTTGCGAGTTTTACCATCCCAAATCTAAACAATCAATACGACTCGTGAACCACTAAATCTTCACACAAGCTTTACGTTCCGAATTGTGTTTTAGTATATTTTGAATTTCAAAAGAGAAAACGATCGAAATCGATTGCAAAGCGCTTGTTTTTCTTGGCTACCTTCGATCTAGAAAGCGATGGAAGACGATTGCTTGCTGTAGTTGTGGTTAGAATGACAATCAATAGACGCTTTCCTATTCTCTATGGACGGGACTAGTTCTTTGGTTGAGCAAACTAGACATTTGGCAATAGTGAATGTTAACACAAAAGGAAACTGAAAGTTTTTACGTATACTTAATCGAGCGTTTGTGTTGATTTAGCGAAAACAATTAATTGATTACAGGTTTCTGTTACAATACTTGTTCCATGTTATGGTTGATCCTAAAACGTTCGTTTTCCTTTACGATACAGATTTCAGACAAACCTAAATTCAACGACTTTTCAAGATCAAATCCGTGTAGTAGTGTAGTACTGTATTGATGTTTTACTACCCAACAGAGAAAAGTTAGGATAGTTTTGTAAAGTATGCTTGCACTTTGATCATGCAAATGAAGAGGATTTCACAGTCATGTATTTCTGGCAGTTAGTTAATATAATATTGTCATAAAACTAGCCAGTACAATCATTGACTATTGGATACAGAAGGTACAATTCTTTGTTTAGTCAATACAATTTGTTTATACAATCATGCAAAATTACCCAGAAAGAGACGCCAAAGGGAGATATCCTTGGTTACATGACTTCTGTACGTATAAATGTAGATACGTACATTTAAAAGGCATTTAAATGTCACCCGATTCATTTAAACAATCTGGCTCTAAATTACCAAGACAATGGTTAATTTCCTTTGTATCAAATTATGTCAAACTTGTTTGGTCCTTTTTACACCAGAAATAGACAAAAAGTAAAGTTTTTAAACAACTGTAAATAGTTTAACAAAATCCCCAACTGAACAGAATACAACATCTTGATTGTTCTTGGACTGTTTATACTTGAATAAATTATTTAACTACATGATAAAGAGTGATTTACCTACCTCAGTTGATACACAAATGACCAAAAAGAGTTTCTGTATCCTATTTCAAATCCATTATTATAAACTTGTTGTCCTTTGTTTACAATTTGCCAGTGGTTAAACATTCAGCTTGTGGATCAGCTGTTAAATAATATTTCACAACCGTTATAAAGAAAGTTGGCCAACATCGCCAGCATCACTGGATCTTTCAATTTGCACTCAAAAAATAAATTAAACTCAAAGGGGCGAAGCTCTAATAGAAATTACCTTTTTTGTCCCTCTGCTGGATCATAAGCTTTAAAATGACACTTTAATGGTAAAATCGGATGATTAGGACGGGTAAAAAGGTATGTTACAGAGAGGATCCTTATTGTATTAAGTATATAGATATGAATTCACGTGATATAAATGAGGTTATGTTAATATTAGGCTAGGTTGGAAAGAGGTAGGCCCTAATAAGTAACAAACACTCTATTGGCGAAGATAGGTCAACACAGCTTATTGTGTATGATTAATGGGAATGGGTACAAGTTAAGTTATTCGTTTCCTTACGAAATGCAACTAAAACATTTACGTCATTAAATACTAGCTGCTGTTCCTGTGCTTCGCAACGGGAATATGCACTATACCGCCTAATCCAAACACTTGTTAAGTAGTTTGAATTTATTGACAAAAATCCACTAAATTTATACAAAAAAGTATAACCTACATTGTAATTGTCTTACTTTTTACATAAAACATATTATTAACATTTTTTTAATAACTTTAGCACTTAAATAAATCGTAAGCAGAGCCTGGGTGGATACAGCAACGGTTATAGAATCTTTTTTATAATCAATGACATAGTTTTGGAATAAATAAACCTGCCACATAGTTGTGTAAAATATATTTAATTTCTTTGGATCAGCTGTCTGAAATAAATTGTGGAATAAGCAATTTGGCAGTTCTGCTTGTTTGCATTGGAATGTCAACGCAATGGTAAACATTATGAATTTTCATTTTTAAGACCAATTAATATTTAATTTTGAGAAAACCTCACATCAAAACATTGGACATCCAAGGGGCGTAGCCCGAAAGGAACTCAGGGAAGTGAATAGGCCTGTGACATTCCTAGATATGTGGACCATCTTTTTGCTTTATCGGTTTAGTATTTCATTTTAGTCGTGACAGCTGCCAAGACAGACAGACAGACACAAACTTAATTTTATTATAGTACAGATAGATGGGTATTTCAGCTTCAAATAACCTTATTTTCACCAAGCAAATTAAGTGGAAGCACTATCAACTGTTACATACATAGGCTTTCTAGTGCTAACAAAACAGACCATTGACATAGACACTTGTTCTAGGGTCGTAGTTTCTTCCTACCCGATTCAAAACTCCCCACGTGTGCGAGTGGCGGGAACAATACAACAATGCTAACAGCTGACGGCGCTACCAGCTGATTGTGAGCAACAAAGATCAGCTGATTGCGTAGGGGGGGGGCTGTGTTACCCCCACCAGTAACTGTTGCCACTCTCCCAGCTGAAATCGAAACTGGATCAGGCAACGTAACTTTCTAGTACAGTTCAACTTACAGTATACGTGGCACCCTGTACATAGTTGTGTCAATTATTGAATTAAAATTCAAAATTTCGAGTGACAATGGTTTAAAGTTTGTGACAGTTTTGGTTGAGGATCGCACACGGATAAAACAATAGTGTAAGTTGACCATGCACCAATTACAGTGCACTTACATTATTTAATTTGTAAATAAGTTAGAAACTAAGGTAGTTAGTGTAAATAATAGGTTTTAGTATAAGTTAACGCAAATGTAGTTATTTTGGTATATATCCAGTATATACTTAAACTTACTGTCACACAGCTTTTAGTTAGTTTCGCTTTAATTTTTACTAAGAAAAAAAAAAGATAACAAATTTATTTGATTAGTACAAATTAGTACTGGTGAATGAATAGATAATGTAAAATAATACGCTTGGTTTCTGATTTTGAAGTCTTCTTACTTGTATCTTTATATACCAAGTTTTTAGCGAGTTTTTCAATTACTCATAGCTTTTCATTCGCAAACACCGACCTGTCGGCGAATTTAGAATTGTAATGTACACTACTCAATTCAGGTTGTTCATGTAATAAAGGGTCATGTGTGGTCCTGAGCTTGCCTAAATAAATAAAGGAACTTTCATTTAATTTACTAAATTACTTTACCTATATGCAATATACATTGAGTTACCACTCCAAACAATAAAACTCATTAATTTGTGTACTACAAAAACACGTTCAAATGTAAAGTTATTTTTTTAATTAATCGGGTGATGGCTGTGGTTTTGATCGATGTAAAACTAACTTAAAAAGGGGGTTGGCGAAGTTACATCCGAAAGTGTTACTCTTTCCTACCCAGGCCGGAAGAAAATATAATATATATTAAATTAATAGGTAAGCATGTTTCTTTAAAACCTTTTTTTCTCAGTTCATGTACATCGCAGGGAAAATCTACGCATACTGTTAAGAAGATATTTGCCTGTAGATGTGCAGAATGCCTTTATAAATTAAAATAGACTCAAAAATAAGAAAAAAATGAATTGAAAATTTAAAAAAATTAACATGTGCCTTATGGGTTGCTGGTGACGAAATAACAACGAAATATAAACAGTAAATCAAAACAAATTAAATATGTTCCAATCACGTGTTTTCGTTACAGCGAGTGGTGAAAATAGAGAAGTCTGTACATTATATGTTTTTGGTCGAGTTTTCAACCACTGGACGACCTCTAGTTTGGTATATAACGGTGTTTTTATTGTTAACCTCTTATACCCGTCACGTAATTATTGATGCCAAAATATTGAAAATGGATTATAGACATTGTTAACAATGGAACAGGAAAAAAAGGCTACCGGTAGAAGGTATTTCAATTAATTGAATAGGGTTTTGTGTGACAGTAAACACAGATGTTTAGCACAAAAGTTGCTTTTATTAAGTGACACACTTGCTAGCAAACTTTGGTGCGGAAAAATAAAAGCCAGGCTATTCTCAATTCATCTGCCACGTTAACCATACACGAGCTAAGAGGGTTAAAAGAACTAAACAGTGTTAGAAATCCTGTAAAGACTAAATCCCTATTCGATGAATAATGTTCAATTATAAATAACTTTCCAGGACCCAATTCAAATAGAACTGATAAGATTTTTCGAAATATTGAGATTTAACGGTAAGGCACTTGAACAGGGCTTAGTATCAAATGGTTTTATCCATCTAAAGATGGAGTGTTAATCTTTTCACGGAAATATTCATTATAAACAACTGATTTGGAAATAAATAATATAAATGCGTTATTTTTCTCTATTTAAACGTCATCCCTAAATATTTTACATAACATAATGCTAATATTATTAATTTTATCCCATAATACTTATCCTTAATCCATCGGAAGCAGCGGTTCGTACTGATTATTGGAACTTATCCTTAATCCATCGTAAGCAGTGGTTCGTACTGATTACTGGAACTTATCCTTAATCCATTGGAAGCAGCGGTTCGTACTGATTACTGGAACTTATCCTTAATCCATCGGAAGCAGCGGTTCGTACTGATTACTGGAACTTATCCTTAATCCATCGTAAGCAGCGGTTCGTACTGATTACTGGAACTTATCCTTAATCCATCGTAAGCAGTGGTTCGTACTGATTACTGGAACTTATCCTTAAGCCATCGTAAGCAGTGGTTCGTACTGATTACTGGAACTTATCCTTAATCCATCGGAAGCAGTGGTTCGTACTGATTACTGGAACTTATCCTTAATCCATCGTAAGCAGCGGTTCGTACTGATTACTGGAACTTATCCTTAATCCATCGTAAGCAGTGGTTCGTACTGATTACTGGAACTTATCCTTAAGCCATCGGAAGCAGCGGTTCGTACTGATTACTGGAACTTATCCTTAATCCATCGGAAGCAACGGTTCGTACTGATTACTGGAACTTATCCTTAATCCATCGGAAGCAACGGTTCGTACTGATTACTGGAACTTATCCTTAATCCATCGGAAGCATCGGTTCTTACTGATTACCGGAGAAATCGTAGTTGCAGTGGCATTGCACTGATTACTCTCGTGACGCGGAGAGTAAAAGTGTTAAGTGTGTGAATGTGACGGAACGTAATATAAACGCTATCGTAGCGTGATACTAAGTTACGTCACCATTGACGTGAAAACCATGACGTCATGAGGTACTAATTTTTACAGGTCTCTGCCTGTTTCTGTCGAGGAATGGGGTTGTCTTGTTTGAACTAGGCTATATTAAAAGTATTACTGTAAATATTTCTTACCAGCATATCTTCAAGTTATGCCTTGAAAACCAAATTTTACTGTAAATTTTCTGCCCATTCCGTCAATCGTTGCGTTGGTATTATCTCATTAAATTACTTTAATTGTTTTCCGTCTGATTGGGAATGGATTGAAAAATTCATAACTTTGTAAATATTGATTTATCCCTTTGTATATGTTACGCTAGACTCATTGTGCATGTAAGAATCGTAAACATTTCTAGGGAAAGCAATCCTGTAGATTTAAAACAAAAATTGATAAATCAGTCATACCTCTAAAGACGCATAATCAGATAAAGTAACGCCCTGAAGTAAAAGAACGAGATTGACAAGTTTTGCAAGTTTTTACTCCGTTAATTATACATGATTGGATTTCTGGTTCCAGTTTTTATGGTTTCAGGATTAATGTCTGTATTTAAGTTTCGACAAGTCGCCGAATACTTAACCTGTCATGCATGTGACATAGGGCATTTTCTATTACACTGTCTATTGATATTGTTTATTACTTTAAAAAAGGATCGACTTTCATTTGTCCCTTGTATGAATGAAATACTCTGTTCCACAAGACCATTCTTCAAAAAGCTTCAAACAGAACGCAAATTTATGTTTCAAATCTATTGTTTTATCTATCATTTATAGTTTTAGTTGCGTTGAGCTACGATGTTTAGCAAAAACAAATCATAAAAGGTACTAATTTTTTTAACCGTAGTTTATTTTAAGTCTAGGCTGTGGCTAGAAAGTAGAACCATTAACTGAACACTTTCATTTCGTACATAATGAGTTACGTATTATATATAATCAATGGTAGAGCATTTCCTGTATGAACATTTTTCTCCATGCAATATAAATAACAAGTTTAGAATTTATTCAAATATATTTTAAGTCACCCGTACATTTTAAAGAATTTAATATTGTACACGCAGTTACTCAATTCTGGTGTAAAATTATCTGACAACTACTGTAGGCTATATTAAAACTTCACATAAGTAAACTTGGTAATGTAAAACAATATTTAATTTTAAATGTGCATCGTACTGTGTTTGTTTAGGCTACATTAACTCTTTAAACTGTAACGAACTGTGGTGCGTCACCACAGTGTGAATTTTATAACCAAAATAAATTAAAGTAATGTTGGATTGTGGGATGAAAATGATTAAATACTCCGGTAATTGAATCGTGACATGATCTTCTGTAACTACTGTAATTCCATGTGGCCAAGATGATTGTATTCTGTTAAAAAATTGCTGTAGGCCTCCTCTATGGCTCGGGTCTCGTTCATGATGATTTATACGTAATTAAATTATGTTTTCCACTCTCCAAGTTGAATTGTATTTACAATAGCACTGCGTTTATTGTTGTTTATTGCTGCTTAACAGTTTTTACATAACGTCAATCCATTTCGTAAGCAAATAAAAATGCTTTTGAACCTACATTGATGACCCCAACATTTACTTTCAACTCGGTAGTCCTACCTTCATCATGTTCGTCTTCACACGATTCGATCATCAAATCAACCCATCAGTTCAGTTTGTAACTAAAATAACAACATATGATGACTCAAAAATTTACTTCAACACATCGTCACTTAGTTCTGTTATAAAGTTCATACCTCATGTTAGATCGGACCCCAGTCGACACCGGACACTGTAGAAGGGAAAGGCGGACAATAATATCGTTTACTTTCGCCCAACACCGACCTTTCGCTGAGGCACGGCTATCAGCATCAGACCTGTCCGACCTTCACTCTCGGCCTTGGCATTTCTAGACTGGTCCCTCCCTTGCGTAGTTCTCGTATCGCGACACTTTTTTTGAAAAACAATCGCCACTGAATGTCAAACGGGTACGAAGGCTACTTCCAAAAGGTTGTGTTTCCAAAGATATATTGGAAACTGAATTCCCAGGTTCTATTGATAACTGTAAGTGGGAAATACAGAGTGATTTGATCGCTATCAAAGAAAAACATGTTATTGAGAAGTTATTAGACACATGTAGAATGTTGACAGCTGGGGATTTTAAGTGATGCAACAAGAGAGACATATGTTAGCCGTTTTCTGGATTTTCTTCTTGTACAAAAGTCACACTATTCTTATAGATTCGCCGAAACTAGGTGTAATAACTGTAGATAACCAAATTGTATTTACAAAATTTTGAGCTAATTTACAAAAACAGTAGGTATATCAAACTATGTATGGATAATTTTTTTTCTACTAGACTACTCGTCAAAATAATGCAATCCAGGTTGAGCAGCCTATATACTGCACATTTCTTTATTCTATATAAATAAAATTAGAGTTTTGTCTGTACATTGCTCAGAATTATATATTTTTAGGTTATTTTTACATTTTATACATTAAAGAAGCAGAAACGAGTCTTATCTGTATTTCTGTCTGTCTGTAACACTCAAGATGGCATTTTACGCAATCTTCTCCGTGAAAACGAGAGTACCTATCAAGACCCAAGTCATTTTAATGTATTCACTGGATTGGCGAGAGTGTCTTTAGTGATTAAAATATGGCCTAACTATTTTGTAAATAAAATTAAGGACGTTCAAAAATGCAGTTTTGTGCGATTTTTGTCAAATTTTCGTTTAATTTTTATCACATAATCGTCTATGAAATAACGAACAGCTGTTCGGATCAAGATTTTTTTTGCTGTCACTGATATGTTTACAAATGTTGTTTACAAATACCGCAACCATTTCGAATCACGTTTCGAAAGCAAATCCCAACCAAAATTGAGATTAAAAACGTTTTTCTTACATAACGGATTTAATTAATCGCAAGTGTAATATCATAGTGTAACCGTAAATGAAATAATGAAATTAAATAACTAGGCATCATTCAGGTCAGGAACCAGAAATTCTTTGTGTATAAAATTGTTCTTGAGTTTTGATAACCAGAAAAAAGACCTTGAATCAGTGTTGTATATGGCTGGGACATTTAATGATCGTCGCCAATAGTTTCCACTTATTGACGGCGCTTTAATGGCGATTGTGTAAAGTGTAAAGTAAAAAAATCACAACTGCAGTGGGTGATTGTAACAGAGGTTTACAGATGATGCTAAACTCGCTTTCCCAATGTGTCACTTTCTGTTTCTACTCACCGTGTAATGCAATCGCTGGACCATACAGCAAATAGGCCCATAGCCCATCTCTTGGGTACGTACGCCTACCTATTTATTCATCTAACAACCTCTTCGACGACGATCCTTGATACCAGTACTTTTCCATAGAATACATGGCCTACCTACTTAAGAAATAAATTTACAAATGTCAAATGTCCAAAAACCCAACATTGTATGATTTTTGTCACATTCGACTGACTACTATAAGATCCCCGTACGTAGAACGGGCACACAGCTAGTTTAATAAACAATTTTATTAATCAATTGTCAGTTTTCAGTGGACTAGAGTAAACTTTACTGATTGGCCATACCTTACCTATGTGGCCACTCAAACCTCAGTAAGTTTTTGGCCTCACCAACAACAAGTCGCCACCTCTATCTGTCTCCCATCCATTATATATCTGCTCTTAGCTTTCCTACATCTCTTCATCTTTCCTTGTCCTGCCATCTTTAGCCGAGGTCGTCCTAAGTGGCCGTCTTCCCCGAGGGAGATTTTCAGACACATTCTTAGCATAGAATCTTCTTCCCTTCTTTTCACATGACCGTCTCCCTTCTTTTTCTAATCTCAGTCTCCTACTTTTTATTTGTGCTATTATTTCATCAATGTATGTATAGATTTCCCTTAATTCTTTGTTTGCTCTAATTCTCCACACACCATTTTCGTAATGAGATGTAAAAATGATTGGCCATATCCATTATAAAACTAACAATATCATTTTATTATACTGTAAGTTATGCTTAAGTGAGTTTAATTCTACAGATGAGATCCGAAGTTGGACTACTCTCAGAAGTAGACAGCGGTGGCAGATCTTTAGAAGAAGAAGAAGACGAGGTGGAAGTAGACGATGGTGTCTCTGACATATCATCTGGGAAAAATTCACTGAAACACATTCAACAAGGTAATAATGATGTTAAGTATAAGCATTGACTATACACCTCTAGAGGTGTATAGTCAATGGTATAAGTTGTTTTAGAGGAATACAAACCGACATGGTCTCCTCTTTTATTTTATCTTTTCTGATTGAAATTTATTGCAGTACATAAAATCGAGTACTCTGTAATTAGACAGTTTGTGTAACTAACTAACTTGACAGTAAACAGCAGACAATATTGCACACAAAAATAGTAGTTTTCATTACTAGTCTCGAAAGTGACTTATTGCGAGGAGAGATTGTGGAAAAAGCTGTTTGGCCCCATAATTTGGCGCTATTCATTGTATAAAAACTTGTACTGTGAATGAATAAAGAGAATTTGAATAATATCCATCAGGCCTCATAGTTTTCTCTACAGAAATAAATCAACTGAACTTGAGTATTTTTTGTTCAGACTCAGACAGTTCCTGCAGTGAAGGCACATCTAGGAGATCAGTCAGAGCTAAGTGGAGGTACTTGGCAGGAGGTGGGGGATCCATCACTCCGGGGAGGAGAAGAAGAACTGGTCTGTCCGCGCGAGAGAGGAACATGAGGCGGCTGGAGAGCAACGAGCGCGAGAGGATGAGGATGCACTCCCTCAACGATGCTTTTGAGGTTTGTACAACTTTAGACAAACTAGAGGATTTTATGAGACGAAGAGGTACTTGAATTTTGGAGAAGTTAAAATCCATAGCTCCAACTTCAAGAATTTTTATAATCACAACTACAGAACTCTTCAAGGTTTTATTTCTTAAGTTTTTGTCATAGATTCAACTATGTAAACAAAACATAAACAAACATAAAAACAAAACATAAAACAAAACTTACATCCTCCTACGAGAACTTTTGAAAGAAAGTTCAACTGGTAAGACCCTGGTTTATGGAATGCTGGGATATGTCCAAGAACGTACAGATAGCTGGTTTATTTATGTTCTCGTAGAACTCTGGTGAGTTTGGTGGTGCAGTTGGTAGTGCCACAGACCTCCTGCCCAAGGCAGCAATGTCGTGGGTTCGGATTCTGGAACCAGCCACTACAGTACTTTTTATCAGTACAGTTCACCCTTGTACTGTACTGGACTGGCTCACTCCTTGCTTTGCTGAATACGTTCCACGCTCAGGCCTCTGTGTTCCATGTAAACAGACAAATGCAATGTTAAAAGAGGCCGCCAAGCTTAACCGTTTTTGAATTGACCACTTCTCCTATCAGTCACATTGACTCCTGCAAAACATTCACACTGTTATCGCGAGCTCATAAATACTAGTTTTGCAAAGATCAATATTGTTATTGTCTTCTAATCCTCAAAGGTTAAATTTTGAAAGCAACAATATACATTACAAATTAGTTAATCTTGCACTATTTGATTTGTTAACAATATTTTTTCTGTTAGCAACTCCGAGAGGTGATTCCTCATGTCAAGATGGAGAGGAAGCTGTCCAAGATAGAGACACTGACCCTCGCTAAGAACTACATCATGGCGTTGACCAATGTTATCTGCGAGATGAGGGGGGATGAGAAGCCTTACACGTGAGTAAAGTCATGTTATACGAACTATTAGGAGACTATTAATAATGTGTTCAAACAATAATAACCTATCAAAAAGATCATTGGCTAGTTTCCCTCTTGCTTAGTTTATTTTATTTCTTCACTTTATCATTCTTACACCGTTTTATTTCTCCTCAACACAAAGTTTTAGGGGAGTGAGCTGGTCTAGTGGTCAGAGCGCAGGACTTCCCCTGAGGTTCTGGGTTTAAATCCCGCCAAATCACCAATGGATTTTATCTAAATGACATTGCCGCAACCCCTGGAGGTGAAAACGGGCAAGTACCCGTAGCTCACGGGGACACTCAAGGGAAACGTAACTTTCCGCAGTGTGAGGGTAACGGTTTGTAGGCACTTATGCAAACCAATCCCTGTCTCTGAGCACGGACGGTATGGTTATCTTGAGTGTGGGGGGTTCTTCCCGGAACCTCAAGTGAGTCAAGGGTGTCGCCACCTCTGGTGGATAGGTTCATCCGGGTGGGTCCCACTTCTATACCTGCCTCCTTTTGGGAAACCCTGATGGCCTGGCAGTGATGTTGGGTCTGACGGGCAAACGAAGTAGATCGGGTGCTGGGTCCGAGCCCGCCAGGGGTATCTGGGGATCTATCGCTCTGGTTATCTCTGGTTTCCCAGCAACTGGGTAAGGCCTCGATCGGGTAGTGGTGTAAATGGGAGGTTGGTCCCCTTCCTTCTGGCTATGATGGCGGGTTCTGCCTGTCAGGGATTAGATAGGTCCCGAGTGTTGCTTGCACTAAATGCGTCGGGGCGCTCCATTATGGTCCTCTAGGGCTTTGTACCTGGTGGAACCCAGGTGGAGCGACGCTTAAACAAGCAGCCGGAATCCCTGGTTAGGATTGAGGGGCAACCCTCTTTCCGAAGGGTCTGCTTCGGCAGCCGGCGAGCCTGATGACCTTAAGTCATCCGCCCATGATGTGCTAAAGGTTGATGCGTAAGCTTCGGCCTACATCATGGGGCCCGGGTATGTCTCACGATAGGTACCGGGTACGTAGTCAGGGGGCTTCGGCTCTCATGACAAAGAAATAATAATAATAATAATAATAGGTCTAATCTGAAGTAGTGTGAAAAACAATCCTTGGCTCATGCCTAGCAGACAAAAAAAGGACAAAAAACGCCCACAAAAGTTGTCAGTATATAGAAATCACTACTAAAAAACTGAGATCAATCAGAAAATAACCAGACAGCTGTAAATAAACCATCTCACTCGCACATATTTATGACTCACAACTTTACCTTTATTTTATTATTACTTTACCTATGCAACTTATACAATAATATAAGAAATCAATTTTCAGGTATTCAGGTAGCAAACCTTAAATAAACCCCCTTATTAAAAGTGTTGGATGTTTTCAATCAGTTTATTGTTGAAATATTGAACAACCTGCAATTTTACAAGGAAAAAAACTTAACATTTAGTCCGGGTTTAATTTGCAGTGGAACATTGTTCAGGGGCCTCTCTCGCTGAAGAGAAATGTGTTTATTAATCATCAAAACAAATTAGTGACACACAGATAGTGTGTGCATAAAACCGCTCCATCATTTATTTTTAAAATTGATTTTTATCTGTACTCCATCATCATTTTCAGTTTTTTGTTTGTTTTGTTGTTGTTGTTGTTGTAAGAGATCAGTCCAAACCCTGGTTTTAAAAGAATTGTCAAATCTACCAACAACTACAGATGGTAACAAGTTAGCCCATCAATCAACATGATGATAACTGTTCAGCTCGTCAACTTAATGAACAGATGATCTTGTAATGTTACACCCTGCAGGCTCTGTGTTAGTAACATAACACGTACGATGTCTTGATGGTGTGTTGGTAGTTTATAAAAAATATTTTAACTATGATGTTCCTAAAAACCAATCAAATCATAGCTAATTGTTATTCTAGAGCCACCAGCATTAAAATATGCACCAAGGTAGTGACCCCATCTCAATAGATCAGGGCCCGCGAGATCCGTCACGGGTCCCCTATTTTCCTGATTTAGTTCAACCGCCTCCGTGCTATTTTGTTACACAAAATAACAATACATTTCTTAAATGCTGAATAGTTTGATTAATTCAAGTGCTCACAATTGCAACTAAAAAATCAAGTAAGAATTAAGTCAGAAGACTTGAATTACACAATTCAAGTCAAAAATTAGGCTATTAAGTGAACTGGAAAACTATCCACAAATTTTTGACTTTAGCAGATAAATGTACCGTACGGAAAAAATTTTACATTTGACCTGGCTCTTCGGAGCCCTGAGCCCCGGGGGCTCTGCCACCCCCCCCCCTGCCACACTCTCTAGCCAGTCCTGCAATAGATAATCATAATACGGTATACTTCTAAAAGTAAATAGCTGTTCAATTGGGGGAATCGAGTTTATCAATAACATTCAAGTGAGTGGAGTTATAAGGTATAATTAAACTAATGCAAACATTTGAGAAGATATGAGGGTTTTCTTTCTTGAAGCTGGGGTTTCAGGTGACTAAAACAAATTCAGGTGACTACGCTTTTCTACTGATTCCAGATTAATTAAATGAAGTTTAAAAACAAAACAATTTTTCCACTGAAATTGCAAAAAAAGGTTACCAATGAACAATACCTATAGAACAATCTTTCATTATTGTTTTTAACGATTTCTTACGATTTTGGAAGATATAATAATTTATAGGACTTTATTGTAACTCCATAATCTTTAAGTGAAGGTGTTGGTGATATTGGCAAAAATAATAAATGAATCTAAGCTTTTTAAGTATGCAGTTCAACTTGAGGTGGATAAGTAGTATCTTAGATCAAGTGGAAGAAAAACAATTTCTTATATAAAAAGATGCTGTCTGTTTCAGGTTCCTAGATGTAGACAACGAGCCGGATGATGAGGAGCAGAACAACAACTCCCTCTATCAAGAAAGTTTAGAACCGACAGCACGGAATTTGAATGCAACCTGACCTTTGGAAACACTGTTTGTAACATTTTTAAGTGAGAATCGTCAGCTGCGGGAAAAAGTTGGGGAGGCTGCAACAGTATTATTGTGTATTGGAAACATGTTGAAAAGTTTGGTCAATGTAAGCAAACAGGAACAAAGTGATGGAATAATTGTTGGAAATTTAGTCACAAAATTGGACTCGAAGGTCCAGAGACAATAATTAATTTAAGTACGGTATATATGTGAGAAAAAAAGAGGATGTCTGTACATTAAAATAGACAAGCTTTTTGCCCATCAAACTGTATGGATGGGTGAACATAGTCAGCTGAAGAAAACTATAAAAAATGTAATGTAATATTATTCTTTGTTCTACAGCAGACTACAATGTGTAGTAAGATTTCAACTTTTAAAATAAATTTGAATTTATATACATTTCATTTATGCCGGGATTCAATTTCGCTTTCCAGGATTGTTTATTCTTACTGTGACATCTGATATCCTGTCACAGTTTAGTTTTCTTTGGATTTATCCAAAATCATTTTGCTGACGGTTATTGTGATTGAAACCAACCAAAGCTGATCTAACAAAATGTGGATAAATTTATGTTTTGTCTTTACAATCTAACCAAATGTTTACTTTGGCTTGATGATTTGCAGTCAATTTAGTAGTGATTACAATATTTGAGCTTTAGAATAGAAATGTTTTCCATGTGGAGAGTATAAACTAAGATTAAGGGATTGAATGCCCTTTTCAGTGCGAGTTCATTGAATTGAGGAAATAAATAGATAGATTGAAAACCAAGTAATTCATTAGGGAGATCTTTAAGGTGAACAACTCTGGGAGGATCGAGAGAATCAATTTAACTGAATTTGGTGTTGCATTATAGCAAACCATCTTACTGAGCAAGAACTGTCTTATTGGCTTATTAGGAATTATTTGAAATATTACTCGGTCATTAGTTCAATTATTGGCGTTAGAGATTATAGGTAAAAACATTGCAACAAATTTAATAATTTAGTTTACCCAAAAGAACAAAGTACGAACTGTCATATTTATTATTAATAAAAACATAGTAAGTAGAATCTCCGTCTACCATGCCTCGTCTGATTTGAAATACCTGATGTTCATCAAGCTGTCAATTAATAATTTCAACTATATCCAATACAAGCTCAGTTATTAAAACTTCAGTTGTTGATGACATTTATGAGTATGGAAAAAAAAATTTAACAGTATGTACTGTATACTTCACAAAATTATCACAATTGTCTAGGTTGTAGTTTTAAGATGTATATAGTGTTGAGTTAATGAGGAATTTTTAATTTTTGTCAAAACAATCTTTGCTACAGACAATAATCAACAAATAATTTAGGTATATCACCTACATTGTTCAAATGATAGGTGCCAATATTCTGATTTTCTTCTAATTAAGCCTCATCCTGGATGACGGGAAGCGGAACGAGTGCTGTCCTATTCTTTGCCGTGGGGGTCATATACTGTCAAAACCGTCAGGTAGGCCTGAGTGCCGTTTGACTCCCCAGAGCGTAATTGATTTCAGAGGAGGAGTATTAGTGGATTCACGGCACCCATTAAGTCGTAGTAATTACGTTATCATGTGCAAAGATTGTTTTCTTCAGGGCTTGTTTGGAGTTACCCTATTTTTGTAAATTTTGGCTATAGAGTTAGTTTATGTTTGATTTATGTTACTAAATGTTGTTTTTGTTATTTAAACCATATTGGTTCCCAGGGTTGATTTTTATTTTCAATTTTCGTAGATATAGGATATAGTTAATTGCTTTAAGTGGTTTTGTGCCTTAGTTATAATCTAACTGTACATATTTTCTTGCTACTCCATTTTGCAGATTTTGCTTAAATGTGTATCTGAAATTGTACTTTTGTGGGCAAACCATATGAATTTTTTCCCATTTATAACAATTTGTATTATAGGTAGGAACATGTAAATGACATGACAGAGAACGTTTCTATTGTTAATCTATCCTTTAACTGATGGTTGTATTTGTACTTGAGAGAAAACCGGTTATATATACAAACAAGTAGAAATTCAATTATTTAATAAGACCAAGGGTTAGAAAAATCAAACTATTTAGATAATCTATATATCCAATTTTTGACCTGAAATTATCTTATATTATCATACCAAATTTCATTAACAAAGTATAAATTGGTTAGTTAAATGCAAAAGAGGCTTGAAATATATAAATTTGCAAAACATTTTGGATATTTTACTAAAAACAATCTGGCAAAAGAGTATGATAAAAATGGGGATAAAAGACTAGTCATGCATTTTCCTAAACGTTGTTTTAAGATCAAATAAAATCCGCCATTTTAACATTTTATTTTTTACACAGCATTTTCTTGTTGACAATTGACTTATTAAATGATTGACTAACTACTCCTATGAATAATGATGCCGTCCATGCTCATGAGTCCCGGGAATCTTTCACTAGTTTTAAGTCATCATTGTTACCATATAAGTGTGAGATAATGTATTTTATGAAATACAATGAGATGGAACAAAGACTTTGTTGTTTTCCTTCATAGTGATAAGAGAGGATTTGAAGTATTAAAGAGAAAGGACAATGAAGTGAATTGAAGGAGGGGAAAATCTAAATAAGATAGATAATCGCTCAAGAAACATGTTTTACTAACACCTAGCCTTATAAAAAAGTGACTATTGTCATAGTCTTACCAAATGTGCAACACTGCATAGGATATCACATTTGTACTGTATATTTGTGTCTGAGAAACTTTTATCCAGCCTGAGACGCACAAAGGGAAGTTCTCGGATTTTCGTTAAATTTTAATCACTCGTGTACCAACATAGAGAGAAGGTACCGTACAGAGAGGGAACATGCTTATGGATCAGAGCAACAAGTCGGCTCATATGGAAAAACCATAGGCTTTTGGCTTTCTGGTATTTAGTGTACAGGAAACATACTTGTGTCGAGCAAGGAAGAGTTGAAGTAAAGTACATGCTAGACACCACTTAAAAGTGTACTATTGAATTTTCCTCTGTACCTTATTTCTCTGCGACCAACATCTATTTGAATGAACCCTCCGAACCTAACATGGAAATTAAAGACACCATCAAGGCCATTAAATTCAGCTTTTAGAAATTAAGTAAATTATATTGTCGTTCCACATGCGTGTTTGCTTACGATATATTTAAAGTGCTTTATGTTTGTTGTCTTCACCTTATTCATACAAAATGGTGTATAATCTAACTAATATTTAGAATGCTTGTTTGCAGATATGTCTTGATTTTATTGTAGGCCTTAAAAATTCAATACACATCTGGGTGTTCCTTTTAGCAATGAAGTAAACATTGAGCACAATGCATTTTGATTATGATAGGTGTGGGTAAGTATGAATTTTCTACTGTTTATGAACCTGGATGGTTGTTTTTCATTGGATAAATTCCAATGATACCTATTAAGAAAAGGACAAATTTTAATTTATTAAAGTTTTAGATTTAATTTGGTTAAAACGGAGAGCTGCTGCCTAAAAACCACAAATTTTTATGACCGAGAGAGGATGACCTGCTATGACAGCAGGCCAAAGGTAGACACATTCTGAATGTGGAAGCCTTCAGGGGAATGGGGAATTCATAAGCTCCCAGCTCTACCCCCCCTGCAGCCTCAAACCAACTTTTTCCCCCTTTCCGAATCCCGCCTACATAAGAGAAATATGAGCTAGGTAGGCCTACTGCATATGAAAACTACTAGAATAATGTTTTTACATAACCATTGACTAGAAATAGGTACTGTAGATTGCTATTTCCACTTATTCTTTTATTCTTTTATATTCTTGTCAGAAGAGCCGAAACTCCCCGACACACCCGGTACCTATTACATAACGATATATTTCCACACCTATTTCCACTCCACACGCACCTGTTCATTTAGTCCAAGACAGGCATTTTGCGGTGGGACACACGGGAGGGACGATGGCTAACATAGTGTCAGCGTTCGCCGCTAGAACCACTAATTTGAAAAATTAAAATTAATTGGTTAATTAGTTAATTTTATAGTTTTAGCAAATTTCTTTTTAAAATAAAGCAAAATCTTTGACAAAAAGTTAATGTTTAAGTTAAGTTGAAACCTCCTGAATACGAGTCCGATATGCGCTACCTACTATGCCACGAACGCCGCTGGAATCACATCGTCTCGTTACGGTAATCGTGTTGCCTCAAGAGAAAACATTTTTTTTTTTTATGGGGAGGAGGTAAAAATGCATTTACGCACACTGAGGTGAGGTGCTCAATGGCCACTCAGTCGTGCCGGACTCCCGCGGGCTCATTGTCCCCGGACTACCGGCTAAAAAACCCCCTCGTCTCCTAGGACACTAGCCTGGAACTGTTTCGCACATTACTTCGGGCTAGGCCTTTTATACTACGCCCCTAGGGCTTTCCTTCTGGTTTCCTCAGAAAACTAAGGCCGATCGAGGTCGACCTTCTTATCCCGAAGTATGGCTTTGACGAACTGCTTTACACAGTTCCAGTTTCCTTCCCCCTGTATCATAGCTCCAACGATGTTGTCGGGAGTAATGTCGACGCCGATCTCGGAGATCAAGGAGGCTCGGCGGACATGCCACCTGTCGCAGAAGAAGAAGGTACCGGTATGCTCAGCCGTGTCTGCAATGCCTGGACAGTACATACAGTCTGAGCTGGCAGCCTTCCCCATTCTGTGCATAAAGGCCCGAAAGTACCCGTGACCCGAAAAAAATTGAGTCAAGTAACCTCACCATGCTCCCGTTCCACCCATAGTCGGATGCTAGGAATGAGCCTGGCGGTCCAACGTCCCCGAGACTCGGCTTCCCATTCACGCTGCCAGCGGTCGAAACTGCGGTTGCGTTCTTCTCTGGCAGCAGTCTCTCTATCTACTTCAGGTCTCCTGCGGTAGATCGCCTGTCGCTCCCTCGCGAGATGAAAGACGGGGATGACACTGGCAATCACCATGACTGCAGGCTCGGAAACTGTGCGGTAAGCGGAAGCAACTCGCAAGGCACCTCGACGCTGAACACGGGAGAGCCTGTCACGGAAGACACGCCTCTCCAGCACGTGGGCCCAGATTTCAGCGCCGTACAAGAGTACTGATTGGACGGCAGACATCAGAGTAGGCGGCGATTTTTTCCGACTACTAGACACCATATGAAAATAATAATTTTAGTTTACAAATATCAAACTTTGAGGTTCCTATTAATTATTTTTAATTAATTTTTCTAACTTAACGAATAAAAATGTGAATCCTCAATTCTGGGGGGCTAAGCCCCCCCCCTTTAGCCGCCACTGCCTATAATGTGACAAATTAATTCACACAATTATGTATAATATATTCAGAAATATGCCTACATGCTAAAGTTCTAAAAGTAATCTTTACATTATTAAAATGCAGTACAATTAATTGAAAATAACTGCAGTGCATATGATTATGATTACGTATTGAATTCCGTTTCCAACATGAAAAGGGAAAACTGCAAAATTGTGAGTTATACCGTTTTCCAAAATTTGTGTTCAGGGGGTTTTTTTAAAAACTCAAAATGTATCATGGTTTTACAGGCAAAGTAAATCGACAAATTATTGAACAACCATTACAAAGATTATTGATCGACAAAGATTATCATTATTTCATAATAAAATTGTGTCTCATGGTAAAAGTTTAAGGCACCCCTTTAAGGAAACAGAAAAAAAACTGCTTGTCGTCTACAGCTATATGATTAGCTGGACAGCTGGAATATTTATTTACAATCACTGGCACAGCTGCAGACGAAAAACATAACCTAAAAACCTGATACACGGCGCAAGCCCGTTAAGTTTATACATTTCTTGACGAGCCCTTCTTTTAATTTAATTATATCAGAAGATAAAAGAGAATTGTCTTAAATTGTCTTTCTTCCCTTCCTCTGTAACACTATGAGAAATGTGGTTCTTTTTACGTTACTCATGGGTTCTAATTATATACACCGTTTCTTCTGGACTCTATATTGCACTTATCAATTTACATTACAAATTTGATTACTTAACGGATTGGTTTTGTAATGATTTTGAGACAATTAATGACGTTTACGACTATATCATAGGTAAGTAGCCATTATCTGTTTCTCTTCCCGTAAAGAAGGCATAATCATTATACAACCTTATAGATAATAGGGAGCTCTTTGGCTGTGTCCTCCTAGCTCCATATTTTCCCATTATGTAAATAAGAGAATGTTCAATTAGTTACTCGGTTTCATCCTTAGGTATTAAGCATAAAATAAAATAAATTTAAAAACCTTCATCTTCATCTGACAATGTTTAATAGCCTATTGTTCTGTAAACTTACCAAATAAGGTAACCCAAATTACACCAGCTAGCCTAACTATTTCCAAGCAAACATTTGCTCACATTGTAATGTATTATTGAAAATTATTACATTAGGTACTATTTCTCTTATAGTGGGGGCTGGGACGGCTGGCTGTGTTTTGGCCGCTAGGTTGTCAGAAGACCCGACAGTGAACATTTTGGTGATTGAGGCTGGTGGTCGACCATCGGCTCTCTTAGACATCCCCATTGCTGCTCCAATGCTGCAAAAAACACCATATGATTGGCAATTTTATACTGAGCCGCAGCAAAATGCCTGTCTTGGACTCAATGAACAGGTGCGTGGAAATAGCAATCTACAGTTCTTGTCAATGGTTATACATAAAAAAAAATATCCTAAATTAATTTTTTTTTATCTTAATAACCATGCCTCTTCTTATGACTAGTATTAGTTAATTTATGAGTTAGTAAATTTATTATGAACAAGATTTAGCATTGTTCTTTTTTAATTGAAGATTCTATATTAAGTTTTTTTTTTCTTTTTAAATGAGACATCATTCGATTAATTTCTCCAGAAATATTAGACCTAAAGTTAGTTTCTTTTTCAGTACAATTGCTTACCTGGCCACTAACAAGTCTATAGGCCTTAACTTATCTTGCGAGACTGTTATAGACTAACTTATCTCTTAGAGTTTCTGTAAGAAAATTTTTTGGCTTATGCTACTTGTAGCTTCTAACTAATAGGCTACATTTATTTCCTATGATGTAAGAAATAAAATACAAGTTATTATACAGTTCTGGTATGTATTAAAGGCTTATCAATAATTTTGCTTATCATAATCCTATACTAAACAACAACTAATTGTGTTCCAGCGCAGCCCGTGGCCCCGAGGTAAAGTGGTGGGGGGTACAAGCAGACTCAACTACCTTGTCTACCTGCGTGGTCACGTAGCAGACTATGACAGCTGGGTCAGTCCCGACTGTCAGCACTGGAGTCGAAATGAGATACGCAGCTATTTTAAACGGGCAGAACGTCAGTTGGGCCAATACGCCAACGACTGTAAGTGCTCTTATAAGCTACTTAACTAATAAATTTTTATAATTTATGAAAACTTTAGATAGACATAACTTATGATAGATTATAACTCAATCATTATCTGCAATAGAAACATTAAGTTAGGCCTATTATCCGTACAGTATAGCAAATATGTGGTGTAAAGAAAAAATATCAATTCAGAACTAAGGTTTGTCATTAAATTTTGGATTTTTTAAAGTCTTTGTACATTATAATACATTTTTGGTCATAAATAATCTTAAAAATAACTCTTTCACTCTCATACTACTTTTAGTGTATAAAGTAACGAAAGTTGCCACCAGTGTTAGCGTTATGCTCTGGTGATCTTGAAAGTATTTTCCAGCTGTGTTTCACTCCACCCTTGGCTCTATACCAGTGTCAGACTTACTGCATACGTCTGGTATGATGGACGGGCTTCTAGGCGCAGGAGAGGAACTTGGATACAAGATTGGAGATCTTAACAGTGGAGAAACTCGGTTTAAAGGTAATTTTTCAACAAGAGACAATTTTTAAATTAGTTCAAAACCACCATCAGAGTTAGCCTTGGAACCTTTGGCTATATTTTTTCTTTTGTGTGTTTCAATATTTTTGTATGTTGGGAAAGAAAAAAGTTTAATCTTGTAATTTCTTAGGTTTATAGTTTGGGTTGTAGAGTGGGATAACTTATCCCATCTCCATTTAAAAGTTGGAGCTTTGACTATAAATAACTTCTTGATCGGCACTATCAAAGTGTTTTGTAGCTAGTTGAAGACTGACAATTGACGTACCTCAACATTGTACCATTCATTGTACCAATTGACAATTATGGTGAATCGAGCCACCAAAAGAGTTTGAAAGACATGCAAATGAACGTTTGGGATAAGGACATACACAATGATACAGCTCTAAGGGTATAATTAATTGTAGAATGGCCTATAAGGTCATAGTTTTGGGTTTTGCAGTATAGCGTAGGTAGACTTCCACGATAAATTGACATAGTGTTGCGGTATAAAGTGATCCCATATGTCCTACCTTATATTCATATTCTGTCATAATATTTCATTTTGTCTCTTAAGAATTGTTTAACAGCAGTGACAAGTCTTCGTTCGCTCCATTCCACTCTGCCTCTACCTCTAGTACTTTTATAGTTTCATGCGATGCCAGTCGGGCAACCAACAGCAATGATCCCATGAAACAAAGCTCAAACTTTGACAAACTGGTTGAATCAACTTTTTCTTACTACAGTTACCTGACAAAGTGGGCTTCCTTGCACTGGTTATAGCTCGCCAAGTAGCTAACTGTTGTATTTACTTACTTTTGACCCACTCTAATTGTTTTTTGCCGCAATCCAGTACACCAACCAAACAACTGAAAACAGTGTGCGTTTATTAGGCACGTAATACCTTTACGCTTGAAAATAAGTTGGCAACACTTAAAGATCATACTACTACGATCAGCAAGTGTGGTGTTTTCTATTTCGTTCAACGCTTGGATTTAACCTGACCTAAAAACGTGTTGTATAGTTTTTGGAAGACTAATTATTTTTATGCTTTATAGTAACTGTAGGAAAAATATAATGTGTAATGCGAGTGCAAAGTGTCACTATTCGCCCAATAGGAGTTGGAGAAGTTTTGCAGAGACTATGTGCAAAAACCATGGCTTTTGTAACAGGTGACGATGTTCAAGAAATATGTGGATCTGACCAACTCTGCGCCGGAACGAAAGCTGGAATAGAAAGTGCTATACATGCTATGACGGACCTATTCAATGAAAAGAACCAAAATTGTATTTTACTTGTAGATGCTTCAAATGCGTTCAACGCCTTGAGCAGGCCTTTAACTCTGTGGAATGCTAGGGTGCTTTGGCCTCGTTGCGCTCGTTTCCTATTCAATACATACCAAGGCTATGCAACCATTATGTTTAGAGGAAGCAATAAAATCATCCTTAGTCAAGAAGGAACCACTCAGGGAGACCCTTTAGGCATGCTAATGTATGCAATTGGCATATTACCTCTGGTAAAAAAACTAAAAAGCCTAAATTGGAAGCAAAACTGGTACGCTGATGATTCTGCATGTTTCGGTGAAATACTTAAAGTTAGAGAATGGTTTAACGCTTTACGTGTTGAAGGGCCAAAATGGGGGTATTACCCAGAACCCAAGAAAAGTGTATTGATAGTAAAACCTGAATATAAAGAAAAAGCAGAAGAAATTTTCAGAGACCTACAAGTGAAAATTGTAACATCGTACAGGTTTTTAGGGGGTATTATTGGTAGCTCAGAAGAAAAGAAGGAATTCGTGAAAGAAAAAGTAAAAAAATGGGTTGATTGTGTAAAGAAATTTGGCATAGCTGCACATAAAAGTCCTCAAGCAGCGTATACTGCCTTTACTAAGTCATTACAAAATGAATGGGCATTTCTCCAAAGAGTAACAGAGGGATTTAGTGAAGAATACGAAGACTTAAAAACTGCCATACATCGCCATTTCACTCCCAACCTTTTCGAACAAGAGATTTCTGAACTTGAACATGACTTGTTCTCTCTCCCTACTCGTTTTGGAGGCTTAAATATTCAGGACCCGACAAAGAACGATGGTATTTCATTTAAAACATCAAAACAATGCACAGAAAAATTAATATTAGCCATTAAAAATGGACAACCATTAAAGATTAATGATCATGTATCAACACTACAAGATGTAAAAAAGAAGAGAAAACTAGAAAAAGACACGTTGGCTAAAGCAAATAATGAACGAATTATGGAATTACTTCCTGAAAGTCAAAAGAAGCCAATAATTAGAATTGTAGCAGGGAATACTAGCCAATGGTTAACTGTGACACCATGTGCATCTGATCATACGGATTTGTCCCCGGATCAATTCAGAGATGCTTTGTCAATTTGCTATGGCCGCACACTAAGAAATTTACCAATACAATGTGATGGTTGTGATCAACCTATGAATCTTACACATGCATTAAATTGTAAAAAAGGAGGATTGATCAAACATGGGCATGATCAACATCGAGACCACTGTGCTGCGATAGCAAATATGGCCTGGAAAGGGGTTGAAGTCGAGCCTATTATGAGAGAAGCTGACCCTGCAAACAATGTGCCTGCTTTAAAAGCTGATTTTAAAGTTAATGGTATTTGGGAGGCTGAGAGAGTAGCGTTTTTTGATAATCGCATTGTTAATGCTGACGCTCCCTCTTACGCCAACCAAGAATTGGGAACAATATCTCGAAACCATGCCGTTCAGAAACACAATAAATATGACAAAGCAGCCGAAGACATCAGAGGAAGCTTCACACCATTAATATGTTCCACGGAAGGAGTCCCCCACAAAGAATATGAAGCGTTTCAGAGGAGAACAAGCGAAGCCCTGGCTGTAAAATGGAGAAAACCATACTCCCAAATTATCGGATGGTTGAGGATCCAAAGCCAGCTTTCCATCATTCGAGCAGTTTCGCTAAGGCTACAGGGAACTAGACGAAAAATTCGAAGCATTCAATTTGAAGATGGTGCCGCAATTCCCCCATTGCTCTATTGAACTTCATTTTATTTTTTTTTAACATTTATATTTGATTGAAAATCATAGTCATATGTTGAATTGTTTGAAATGTATAAATAAAGTTTTATTGTTTGGGTCACTTGGCACACTAGTTACACAAATAACTATTGTTAATTTAGTTCTATCAATATTATCTCCCTGAAGTTATAAAAATTGTAAATAATGTATAGGCCTAGGTAATTTTGGTGCTAAAAAGTAAAAACATCAATACTGACAATATTGATCAAAAACATCGATGCCATCAAGTATCGGTGGATTTCCATCGATGTCAAAAATATTGAATATCGGCCTTAAAATATCAATATTTCCGATGTAGGCCTATTGATTATCGATACCAAACACTAGCCTATGTCAAAGTATGTATCCAGTTCATTCTCTTATTGGTTTTGTGATTCCTTCTCTTATTATTGGAATTTTAAGTGTAACATCTATTTTTACATAATGAAAATGCAACTAATAACAGTGAAATCAATTAAATGTAAATATTAAATCCATACTTTGTTTGTCTAAGAAAGTAATTATTTCAAACACCTTATTTATTTACAGGAGGGTTTATGGCTACTCAGTCCACCACTAAAGATGGTTCAAGGTTCAGTGCTGATAAACTTTTAATCGGAAGAAACAATGTGAAGATCCTGCCTTATACTCAAGTCACAAAGGTAGGATGACACAAAAGATAGAAAGATTAAGATAGGTATTAAGATTAAGGTTAGGTCAAATCTTGATGTTTATCCAATGAATTAATATCCATTTATCATTTCAAACTGTTTATATATCTTTATATTTTAGTTGAGTGTGTTAACATAGCTTTTGCCGTTTACCTATAATCATCAATCTTAACAATTTTGGAACATGTTATACTGTTTTATAGGTGCTGCTGAGGCGCAATTTTGAGGCATACGGAGTCCGAGCTGTCCGCCATGGTCACCGCCTGACCTTGCGTGCCCGCAGGGAAGTTATCCTGTCTGCTGGCACGGTCGGAAGCCCCCACCTCCTGCTGCTCTCTGGGATTGGTCCTGCAAAACACCTCCAAGAGCTTGGCGTAGGTGCTATAAGTAGTAATGATTGCAAAACTTAAAATGAAATATCTCTCCTCTTTGTTTGAGAGAGGTCTACAATATAAAAACAGTTCTCATCGTCTAAGAGGGCTTTACAGCTGAACTCCAACTATCCAAACTGGAACTATTGGAATAGCCGACAATTGCTTACAGAAAGAATTAAAGAAAGTTAAAACCACAGTAATAAAAATTGTTTTTAAAGAAGGCAAAAGCCATGATAACAGCCAAATCCAATACCTCTCTCACGGCCCTGTAGACTTCATCATTGTCTCCCGTGATCGTGGGAAAATATTTAATACATCCCACAATCGTGTAGACATCATCGTCGTCTCTCACGGTCACAGAATCATCGTCATGGTTTCCGTAATCACGGCCAAATCTTGAATATCTCCCGCGCCCGTATAGACGTGATCATCCCGTCTCGCAGTCATGGCTCTAAATCACCTTGTCACCCGCATTGTAGCAAATTGTAATTCTGTGATTGTTTTGTTCTAACAAATCATTAATTTAAGGTGGAGTTGAAGGTATGATATTGTAAAATTTTAAATTGAATAAGCTATCTTTAGCCTAAATCATAAAAATATAAAGAACAGAACAAGAAATTGCTTTGAACCTTTTCTATTGTTAAACTAGCAACCTTCTCACTCAGCCAAAGAAAATGTCTAAGTTTGTTTTGACACAGGGAATTAAGTGGAAAGACTACATACAATTTTCAACTCTCTCATATTTGCAGAAGCATCCCTCAAGACATTCTTTTACATTACAGATCACAGTGGCAGTAGACCTTCCTGTAGGAGGGAATCTGCAGGACCATGTGGCTACAGGACTGGACCTGGTAGTGACCAATCAGAGTTCTCCATTGTCCTGGCAGACCGTTGTCAATCCATGGAACCCCATCAGCTACTTGCTGGGACAAGGTGTGTCAGAAATATAAGTATGATACCCAAATTCATTTCTGAATGGTTACAAAAAGATTTTTTTTTTGCAATAAACTGTTTCTTAGCGTTGCTACCCACATAGTAATGCTGGTCTTTTAGCGCCATAGGTATCTTTAAAAAAATTTAGGTTAAGAGTCTTCTTCACCCTTGCGAAAACAATAAAAACACGCCTTGGACGTCCCTCGCCCCGGATGGGACGCGTAAAGATATAATGTTAAAACCTTTTCTCGTACAGATTAATGTTGGTTCTAGGGCTCTCATACACGATATATCCAAGAAAATCAATGTTATAAGTACAAAAAAATCTTAAAGTAACGCAAATTGAGTCACTTTTAAACACTGATAAAACTAATTATTTTTTCATTTTCAATTTATTAAGGTATAAGAGTTATATTATAACTATTCAACTACATTGATACCAAATTAAAAGAAAATCTGTTGAAAAACAGCGTCCAAAACTGGGGACGAAATAAACATGTTTTGTCGGATGCTACTGTGCTACTAGCCTTTAACAAAACTTGGCTCAGGCGGCAGATGAATCACTGACGTGTCGATTTAGTAGTCGTGTGTTTACTATGTTTTCAGAATATCGCGCATAATGACCCCTTGCTACCCGCCCGTCCTCAAAACCTTCCCCACAAGGCCATATCCTCAAAACGCAACTGCACCGGGGGTGAAGAAGACTCTTAATAAGATCTAATAAATAATATTTATCAAAAAGCATTACTGCCATGAGTGCCATGCAAGACTTACGATGCTAAGTAAAGTGGCTAGAGTAGCTTGCCCTCAGATGCCTGGACAACCAAACATTTGAGCAGCAATGTTATATTTACTTGTAGACCAACTATTGATGTATGCTAAACATGTTTGATTCCACAGGTCCAATGACCCACCCAGGCTGTGAGGTGGTGGGGATGGTGAACACTCTGGGTCGTACAGATGAACTGCCCGACCTTCAGTTCATGGCTCTGCCCGGTGGGTTGTCCAGCGATGCTGGAGTAGTGCTCAAGAGGGTGATGGGCATCACGGACAAGGTAGGCCTAAGATAGGCAGTAGTGTTTAAGGCTAAAGCCGGTTCTTCCAAGGCGCGGAAGCAGAGTGCGTGGAGAAGCGATTTTCCGCTCGTCCAGTGGCAGTCTGCTCCACTTCTAGGAAAATGCTACCATTACATTACCTAAGGCAAGTGGAGATTGGACCGCGCTTCCACGCCTTGGAAAACCCAGATTAAAATATAATGTAGGCTGGCAATCTCTTATGTGGGAACTGTATTTATATTGTAGTACTATTTTAAGGTTTTCCGACCATATTCCGTGATCAATTAGGTATTTCTCTGTTTCAGCTGTGGAGGGAATATTTTGCAGAGTTGGTTGGTACTCCTGTGGCCACACTGCTGCCAACCCTGTTGCACCCTCACAGTCGGGGTTGTATCAAGCTGAGGTCCAAAAACCCTAACGACCCTCCAGTCATTGACCCCAGGTATCTCAGTGACCCGAGGGACGTGCAGGTTCTTATTAGAGGTAAGATTTTTAATTTTTGTATGTTAAAATCTAAAATTTAATTAAGCTGAAAGTAGTGATTTATATATTTTACAAGTTGCATTTAATGCCGAATAGGTAATGCAAAATTGTTTTCACCACACTATGATGTTTTTAGCTGTTTTACATACGTTAATTGGTGATGAATGTTACGTTTTGCTGGCCATGCTGTCATCGTCATTTGGGGACCGAGCAGGTTTTTACATCCCTAGGGCCGCAAAATCAGCTGTCCGCTTAACTTTCTTAAAACATTAATGCATATTAAATACACAATCAGTATCCATAGCATTGCAAAAGAATTGTTTTACTGTCACCGTTGCCTAGCAACTATTTAGTATTATTTTTGCTGATTCCTAAATTTATTTCTTCACATAACCTTAGATTATAGTGTGCATTATTATCATAGTAAATAGTGGTAGTAGGTTATAGTGTGGTGAAAAATAGCGTTCGTACCACGGACCGAAATGGTTTTGCAGCTTTCGATCATTTTAAGTTCTCAACTTTGTCTCGAACTTAAAAACTATCTTGAGCCGGCAAAACCTCATTTTTGGCCCTAGGTACGAAATATACTATTTCGTCATACTGCAGCAAAAACTGCCGTTTTTAATGCATGCGTTGCGGGTCTAAAGTAGTATTTTTACTCTCTAGGGAGTAAAAATCAGCTGTTGTAAACAGTTGTAAATTTTGCAAATAACCTTAGTAATTCTCCTTATGAGTCACTTTAGGCCCTAGTGATGAAATATACTATTGTGTGTATGAAGTAACCTAGAAAATAGAAAGGAAGCTGTAAAAATAAGCAAAGCAGATGCTATGCAAAATTATTTGCCACACTTAAAGTAGAGCTGACATTTGATCTTAAAAGAATTTTAAATTAGCACGCGTCTGCATTTTATTTTTAAATTATTGGATACTTAGGTAAACGGTGTTTAAACATTTTTTTCCTATGGCAAATTACTTTATGTTTTACTGTTATCATGATTTTTTCAACCCACTTTCTCTGATTATTTGGACATTTGTTACAAATCCAATATTGACTGTAACTATACAATATTAAATATCAATATTCTATAACTATGCCCAGTTTAAACAGAAGTTTTAAAACTCATATAAATAAATAAATTCACACTTATTGCAGAAAGTAAAGACCCATATCATTGTGTGTAAAGATCCAAAATGAATGAAAATGTTGGACTATGTAGTGAATAAGATTAGAGAGACATCTATATCCAGACATAAAAATCTTTGAATTTTTAACAATTAATTTTTTTCTCATACAAGTTGTTGACTTTGCAGGGCTACAACTACTAGTCCAACTGACAGAGACGGAGGCTATGAGGAAGATAGGGGGGATGGTTTGGTCTACCCCCCTCCCCCCTTGTGCTCACCTCCCCCTCTTCACTCCCCCCTACTGGGAGTGTTACGTCCGCCACATCACTGTCACTGCGTACCATTTTGTCGGAACTTGCAGGATGGGCTCGGAAAACGATGCGACCGCAGTTGTTGATCACATGTTGCAGTAAGTTTGATGACTTTTCATTGGTTTGTGATAGGTCAGTAGTGAGTGATGTAGTTTTATGTTTACAGTACTTTTTACATTTTAGATTAAACATAGCCTACTCGTCTATAGATTTGTTCGTCATGCTTATGGATCAGATGGAGATTATTTTAACAATTTTTTAGCAGAAGGTGTTTTGTTGTTTACTGTTTGTTTCCTTTTATTTAACCTATATTAAAACTATTATAACCAATAACCAAATAAAACAATGCTTGTTCTATGGTATTTATTTTTATATAATCAAAGAGTAACCTACAAGTAAAGAAATCCGCCCTTATACATGAGAAGAACGACAACTTTAGCGTACCACAGAGAAGTAAGGTATAGATTTGGGACGACTGTGCACTTTCAGCTCTAGTGTGATGGGCCAGAAAAATACTTGTAGCAAGGAAGAGCCCGAGTGGCGAGCACTGTGCAGGAATTCCTATTGCACTCTTCGTCTACCGAGGACGAGGGGGGTGGTGTTGGTTCTTTCAACTTTATAATAACAAAATTTCTTATTTCCAGAGTTCACAAAACATCCCGACTCCGTGTCGTAGATGCATCAGTAATGCCAACCATGCCGAGCGCAAACATAAATGCAGCTGTGATGATGATAGCGGAGAAAGCAGCCGATTTGATAAAAGCTCATTGGCACCTGCAGTCCCTGCAGGTGTGCCACTTGCAAGATGTGTTCCTCACCAGGCCTACCAACTGCCGTCACCATTAGTAGAGAAATTCACCTCTCATACATAATAATTCCCTATTGTCTTTCCACCAATGCAGGACACTTTGTGGTAATATGTAAACCAAATTTTAAGAACATATAAGACAGCTAAAAATAACCGAAATGGTTAGTGTTTTTAGCTAATTTTATTATTAGTCCAACAATAATTTTTAGGAAAAAACCACTTAAAGTGTGTTAAAGTGATGTATAAAACCTATTTGCAATTGATTGGTTGGCATAATGTTGTGAAAAATAAGTAAACCAAAAAACCTGTAATGTAAGTTGATTACTACTACAATAGATACTAAACAAACATCAGAACAAGCTCTCTATTTTACAACAGGGTGAGAAAACTACATGCAGCTTCCAAAGTCAATAGAAATGGTACACTGGTTCAAATCCTATCTCTCACAAATGGTTTCTGTCAAAGACTTAGTTAAAATTGCATCAAATACTTGAAAATCACTTTCTACTTCAGAAATAGATTTTTAATGAGTTAGTTTTTAACTCCTTGAATAAAAATGAAAAAAATTATGACAATAAAGTTATTGTAATTGTAACTGTGGGTTTGCTAACAAAAATCTCAATTTTTGTAAGTAAGAGGAAATTGCTACATACAACCAGATTCAGTTTCTAATTTGAATTATTTATGCAATAAAACTTTTACTCCATGGTTGCCAAATCTAATTAGTTTTATGAGAAAACTAGAAAGAAAAGAAGTATTAAACTTATCTACTCCAAGTAGATCACAAGTCAAGATTTTAGTTATAAAAATATACTGTATGGGAAATACATAAAAAGAAACTAGGTACTATTTTTATATCAGATTGTATGTCCATAATTAAGATAGGCCTACTCTGAGTGCCTTCAAAATATATTTCATTGAGAAACCTTCATAAAAGTTGTCTATGCATATTTTAAATATTTTTTTTATTTATGTAACACTGTAATGTGAGTTAAGTATTTTTGGCAAATTTCCCATATAGGAAATAAGCTATTTTTAATATGTCTAATGTACATGTGATTATAAAGTTGTCTCTAAATGTTTATGAAAACTTCATAAATCTTTAAATCCAATTAGTTTAAGACCCCTTCAATTTATAACAGTTGTTAAGGCGTGTTTTCCTAGCTGCAGGGTGCGGTGTTGAACCTGTAGAGTCCGCAGAGCACACAATACACAGTGCTACGTCAGAGTGTTTTCCTAGAAATCGTAGGCCAGCGGGGTTCAGACTGCAGGCCGCGTTGACTCACGCAGTCTGCAACGGGATAGCGAGGAGTTTGTGTTATTGTCCAAGTAATTCTACGAGAGAAACTTTAAATCCGCACCCCGCGAAGTCTAGGAAAACACTAGTCCGTCTTTGTCTGCCGTGTGGTCTAAAAATGCATTGAACTACACACCACGCTGAGGAGTAAACCCACTGAGGAAAATGCGCCTTTAATTTTAATGTTTTTGTAACCCATTTCTTAACGTGATATAATCAATGTTCCTAGTGTTGTATAGGATGAACGATGTGTTGGAAAGCCATCCCATCTTAATCTAGTCAATTGTATTCATTGTTTGTTAGGCAATAAATATTATTTATGTAAAAAAATTACTTTAGCGTTTTATTTCTCCCTGAAACAAATTTTTGGACCAGATTTGGGATTATAGGAGGGTTGGGTTTGCTCAATAGCACTCCGCATCCAGGTCCTACAGGGAGAACAGGGGTTCGTTACGATGAGCCCTTAGCCAATCAGCAATCAGCGGTCCATGCAGCTATGTTTAGCAGACAAAAAATCCATCTATCATGGACTGTGCATGAGATGAGGTCAGCGAGTAGTATGTTTTCTGTAGCGATGGGCTTCTGGCCCCAAAAACTTCTCATGCCCTTTGGCCTGGGTCGATTGTATCGATTTGGGCTTAAGGGCGAGGCTAGGAGCGCTTTTGAGTCCATATTTACAATTTCAGAGATTTGATATGGCAAAAAAAATGGATGATTAGACACAAGTTTCCCAATCACCATACAACTTTTTTTGTTATTTTTTACATTTTAAAGTTTTTGTTTATTTAATAGGATAAAGTGGTGTGACATCAGTTCTCCAAATCATTCACGTGACACTATTTTATTAGACATTGTAAAGTTCACATTGAACACTGTTAGTGGTCGCCCGTATAAATAACTAGCGTTCGTGCAATACTTGACTGTTTTGCGGGTTGCGGTCACAGTAGCGTATGAATGTTGAAGGCGTCGAGTAAATAAAAAACTGTTGGTATTACTGTTTTTAAACTCTCAGAGATGTGTCGTTAAAACTGATTTGGAATTTAAAATTTGATTCGATCAGATTCTTAGTTATGAAAACGTTTTGTAATTTGTAACGAATTACTTAACTAAAAAAATATGACATTGCCATAAAATACTGATAAAACCCCTTTCATTATTTAATTATGATATCAGTTGAGTGTCCTCCTTTTTCGTTAAGCTACGTATTTTTATGAACTGGCATGAACTTCCTCACTAGATTTTTCCCTCCAACAGTAATTATTTTGAAATCGTTCCTTGAAAATATACCTTATATACCTTACAGATAACTAACGTTAGGGCCTTTCTCAGCAAGCGCTTCTTTGGCGTTAAAGCATAACATACAAGCAATTTTCCAATGGATATCAACAACAAGTCTTTGCATAACAGTATAGAATGGACACGATTTTGTTATTGGCTCTTAAAGCCAACCTCAACATGACTGTCATGGGCACCGGGCACGCCGGCATGCCTTTGATATTTGATTCCCTTTGGCATGTAAACCCTCGTATTTGATGAATAATTGTGTTAAAGCGATTTTCCATCAGCTGATCCACTCATCCTCATGTGGTGTTGTAGTCAGCTGTTTTGTAGTCTGTTGTGTGGTATAGTATGGTTACACAACAATAGACCACCGCATTCACGCATCCTCGCATTGTCCCCGAATCCTAATCGAATTTGGAGATCCACATTTGGGTCGCCCAGTTCACACGACACGCCCATACGCCTGCCTTCGAATGACAAGTTTTCATGAAACATAGTTTCCAATTATAAGAATTTGTGAAATAGAATATAACTACGATTAGGAATAATCTTGATGTTATGGGTTTTTTAGGGTTTTGTTGGAACCTCTATTTGTTCAACTTCAAATTTTACTCCAATTGTAGGTGATAAAATCTTACATCGACATAAAAATGTATATAACATTTAATTTTCTATATAAGGTTCGCTACATACATTTCACTGGGGTTAATGTGTTAGGAAATGTACATTTTAGGTTGTCTTTCTTTCTACTAGCCTAAATTTAATCAAATCATATGATATAATAAAATAATGTGTTTTCATGGAATCACTGATTATTATTTTTGTAAACAAACGTTAGTTGTTGAATTTTAAGTAAGACCATTCAATTGGGTACGACGTCTTGTGATTTTTAGATTATTATTTAGAAACGAATAAACTATTTGGACCCAGAACCATGTATAAGCAATTTTTCTTTTGGGGCTTTGCAACACAACAGTGAGTAACGATATCGTCAGAGTTGTAAGTGTAATTACTGTAGTGAAAATTTCAATGCAATACCTAGGCCTACTAAATAATCTCTCTTCTGTTCTCTTAGTAGTATTATTATATGTATAAAACCTGGACTAATGAGTAGACATGTCCACTCAATCTATAATAAAAAGTAAATAAAATAAGCAATTCATTAAATAGCCCATTTTAGTATGTTTCCCTTTATTGTAGCCCTCCTCCTCAACCTTCTTTTTCTTCGTCGTTTTCTTCATCTACATTATCATCATCAGCATCTTCTCTCTCTCTCTCTTCTACCTTCTATCTTCTTCCTTCTATCTTCTATCTTCTACCTTCTCTCTTCTCTCTCCTCTATTCTCTCTTCTCCCTTCTCTTCTTTCTTCTTTCTTCTTTCTTCTTTTTTCTCTCTTCTCTCTTCTCTCTTCCTTCTCCTTGCTTCTCCTTGCTTCTCCCATTTCTTCTCCTCGTCATCATCTTTATCCTCTTCATCGTAAAGATGGTGACGCCACTTTTGGGTTCCCCTCCTATTCCAATTCCAAACCAATGTAGGTATCCGATTTTCAGTTACCAGAACTGCGGACGTACTTCTGTAGATCGACTTAGTAGAGATGGCAAGTAAAATGCAATTATAGCCGTAGACAGAAATGGACAAAGCCTACGTATCCGAGAAAGACTATTTTAGTCGACGGAACAATCTCTATGATACGAGTTGAGAAAGAAATTTTTCGTCGAAAAACTCTGCTCTAAGTATAAATAAGTAGATAATTGTCATGGTTACTACTTTATTTCAACTATAACCCATATAGGTGTTCAAATAATGTTGAAGCAATATTCTATTGAAGGCAATAGGCAACGATTCAATGTTCGAGATTGACAAAAATACATGGGGAATGATATCGCAGATTAATTCCCAATGCAAGGCTAACTTTTAGCCATGTAGGTACTTTTAACATTTATTGGATACGATTTTCCCAATACAATTTCGTAAAATAACTTATTCACAACCTACAACGTTTCCCCTCTCTATGTGCTTGGCACCTACGGAAATAGGCACCACCTACCTACTTCCCCTATGAAGGAATTCGTTGAAAACCATTCAAAACCTCAGACAAGGAACAAGTACTTATCCCCTTGTCTGTGATAGAATGATAAGAATTTATAAGAATATGAACGAGGAGTGTCTCGCGCAACCACTACGTTGTGCATTATGCCTCTATTGTGGTTTTATAACCTCAATAGAACTGGAAGATCAGATAACACAGGGTTTAGTGCATCACTGCGACTCTGTCTGAGGGAAGGGTCTTGTCAACAGTCAAAGTAAGATATTTGGTGATAAGTATCTGCTCGACAGCCTTGTTATCGACTTGTAGCCGTATGAAGAGAGTAAACATTAACGACTGCAAAAATAGGTTGACTGTTTGGATTCCTCCGTCAACCGATCGTCGTCAGAGATAACCTAGCAACAAATTGAGAAGATTCTTCTTTAGAAATATGGGAAGTCCATGAACGCCAGGTAAAATACATATGTTCAGAGGCACTCCCATATAAATCCCATACTGCTGCTAAGGGTATAGTATTTTAGTCGCTTAACCTAGCAAATAAGTTAGCTAAATTGTCAACGAAATCCTGAACATCACAATATTCACAAGTTCATTTTGTAAGAGATTCGTGTTAGAGTTTCGTTCGTTGTAAGAGATTTGTTCGATTTTGTTAGACATGCGTGTAACATTAGATTCAGAATACTCGACTGAGCGGTAGGAAAA